TCAACCCTGAGCCGGTGAGATTTGAACCGCTGAACTGCTGATCTAGCAGTCAGCCTGCAGTGCTGCATTTAACCACCGCGCCACCTTGGCTCGATGGGTTTCCTTGCTTTTTTTTTTTCCTTTGAAAATGTTTCGCTTCTCATCCAAGAAGCTCCTTCAATTCTGAAGAACATTTTCAAAGGAAAAAAACCCCAAGAAACTCCAGTTGTCTTTTGAACAATACCTTTGGGACAATCTATAAGCTTACAGCTGAAGGGAAGTATTATGCGGTTTTAATTCTCATTTTGATGTTAAAAGTATTATTGTAAGTTTGTCTCCTGTAATTTCATACCACTCTGAGGGGCTTCTAATGATTTTAGAAACGGCGTCTTCGTTTAAGATAGCTCTCTTGTCCAATTTTCTGAACAAAAATGAATAATTACAGTAGATCCAAATAATGAAAATATTTCTTGCTGCCAACAGCCTTAGATTTTCTACAACTGTAGTAAAACCAGGAAAATGAAAAAATATTGAAAAACATTGTCAAAAAGGGGAAAAATATGAAATATTAAAGACTGCCAAATATGTATCATTAAAATCAGTGGCGGACAAAAAACATTTTGCTCTCTGTATTGAGGTAAAAAAGGTTGTATCAAACTTTTCTTTTTGCGAGGGAAAAGTCTTTAATTTGGGCGCCTTTATTATTATAGAGAAAACTAGCGATGGGTTTGGGGAGACCTAATTCAGGAGTGAACACTGAGCTTGTCGATCAGAAAGGTCGGCGGTTCGAATCACTAGCACCTCGTAAATGGAGTGAGCTCCTGTTACTTCTCCCAGCTTCAGCCAACCTAACAGTTCAAAAGCACGTGAAAATGCAAGTAGAAAAATAGGAACCACCTTTAGTGGGAAGGTAAGAGTGTTCCGTGCGCCTTCGGCATTGAGTCATGCGGCCACATATCCACAGAGACGTCTTCGGACAGCGCTGGCTCTTCGGCGTTGAAACGGAAATGAGCACCTTCCCTGCGAGGGGAACCTTTATCTTTAATTCTGGAGTCCTCATTTATTGTCATGTGTAGGTTCGACATAGCGGCCAACAACCCAGCACCCAGGAAATTGTGAAGTTTTCCAAACTGTTTGAGGATGAGCTGACGCTGGAACACTTGGAGCGGTCCCAGCTGGTCATCCTTTGCAAACTGCTGGAGTTACAGCCCATTGGCACCAACAACCTCCTCCGCTTCCAGCTTTTGATGAAGCTCAGATCCATCAAGGCTGACGACGAGGTAAGGAGATGCCTCCGGCTTTCGCCAAGAGTTTGGGAAAATTGCTCCTTCAGTATTGAATTATTGAATGTGCTTGTAACTGTTCTCAGCGAGTTTAAGAATCTTTCCTCATGTTAACCCATGATAACTGGTAGGTTAGTCCGAGAAACCATGATTGGCCCGGAGCCCCCTGATCAGTGCAGAATTGAACCAGGGTCTCTAGCTCTAGTGCCAAGTTTGAAAACCTTTGTGTCCAAATACTGAAAATTAATACTTTAACCACAGATGGATATTGCAGCTGTAGGTTGAGATCTGCAGACAGTTCTTGCTCTGTCCTAGGCTTCCCAAGAGCATGAAGCAAACTCTTGGTCCCAACAAAAGCCCTTTTATTAATTTACTATGAATTCTGCTCATTCACACCTAGCAAAGTCTTTCAAGGGAGGATTTACGGTCACAGACCTTATCTGGCTTGGAATAGCTGCCAGGGCGATCTCTGCAAGACTTGGAAAGGAGTCTTGGAGAGCCACAAACAAATTAAG